GGTTTTCTCTTAGAAATTCTCTTACAAACAACAAGGAAGTAGTCTTCAAATTAGTGTTATGGTCTCCAGCGGGAAGGAAGACCGCCACTTACATACTTTTGCTGTACTGTGCTGCAAAGTGACACTGGTCTACAGACAGATGGTTTTCTATTCTAACTGAACAATAGTCCCGAATGGAATATCGCGTTCAGTACCAAGGCCAGGGTGGTGGTGCTATCAAAACATAACGGTTCAGCTAAGGTTTAACTGTAGAAAACAATCAAAACATACCGGTGCAGCTAAGGTTTAACTGTAGAAAACGATCAAAACATAACGGTGCAGCTAGTGTTTAACTGTAGAAATCAGTGTAGCAATGTACGTAGACAAAGTACATAATTTCAGGGCGACTGTACGTTTTCGCTGTTATGCAAACAAACAAGCAATCTGTACCTTGAATGAAGCCAAGTGACCCACGAGACATTGTAAGGTACTTTTGAAAAGTTGATCCTAAACATTTCCTCTGCCACAGAGCTATTCACTTTGACACTGTGCAGGGCCTTCCCCTACATTTCACCATTTATTTACAAACCGTAGATTTGATAGGTGAAAGGTCACAGGACTCTTACATTACAGGTTCGGGGTGGTAAAGGAAACGCGACAGCAAGTAAAAGAGTCACGATTCATTTATTCATATTTATTAATTGGCATAGCATAGCAACAAGGTGATGCAACAGTATGGTAGTATTTTCAGGGAAAACTATTTCCCCCTAGCAAGGTCATTCCGACATCGAAGAGACTGGAGACTGGAATAGTCTAATATTTCTCTCACCTTCTATCAAACTTGGACCCAGTGCATCAACTTATAATTCATAACTAAATCCATTGAGCAACGTTTAACATAACAGTTTCTGAATGAAGGTCTTTCTATCAATTTTGAATCTATAACAACGAGGAAGACTTAAGTCAATTTTTTTTGTGCCAAAATATGACCTCTTTCGAGTTGTACCTAGTGGCACTTCTGATTATAAAGCTGAAGTGGATGAATCTGAAAGAAATCAAATAGGTATGGTCTCGGGTAGATTCACTTTGCGTTTAAACAAAAGTATATTTCCTACGGGGATGCAGCTATAGTGTTGCCTTTGAGAACGACGTACTGGTCCCCCGGAGCCTACTTAGAGAACCTGGAGGTAGAATCTGTAGACCATTTCGAATAGTACAATAGTGTATGCAGATATTTGTTTGACTGGTGACAGATACATTGTTGTATCAAAAGGTCTCCGAAAGTTCACCAATATAAAAGAATGCATCCTTTCATACTAATTTATCTTAACAAATGTTTTTTTTATGACAATTTACCACATTTGTGGAAGGATTGACATAACAGGTGACTATCACCTCTTCAAAGATGTCAACCCCGAGACCAGACTGTAAGGTTTGAACCACTCACACTGGGAAGGTCCCCTACTCTTTTCGATAAGTGTGGTGGGTTCTTTAACGTGCGTGGGGTGTGGCTCTCCCAAACACGGGACCTCCATTTAACGTCCTATCCGAGGGATGTTCATCTGAAACATCGAGCGACCTTCAGGTCGAAAATAAACCAATAGAAATGTCGGGCTACACAATATGTAAAAGTAGGGGTTCTTTTAGAAGCCAAGGCTTTCTCAGTAAAGAAATTGCCTGAGGCAAGGAGAGATGCCTCAAGATACAATTATCGCTATATAATTATCTTCATGGATTTACGCTTGAATAACATTTGGTACGGTGGTTTAATGTGCTTATTCACTAAACATGTATAATGTCCTTGACATTATACATAATGTCCTTGACTAGACAAAGTCTGAAGATGCAGTCTATAGCAACAGTCACTAGACATTTGCAGACATACAAAATAGAACTATAATATTGCCTGAATGGCATTGGTATTTACATCATTACATCAAAATAAACACATAACATTGTTACATACAAATATACATCAATATATACATACTACTTATATGAACAGTACATCCCAGGTATGACAAGTTTATACAGTCTGATTGTAGAGTCTGATAGACTGATGTAGGAATGAGTTCTGAAGTCTTTTTATTCTGGCAGGGGGGATGGGGATGGTGTTTTTGTTTCTATTCACCCCGTACATGACCTTGTCCCTGTATCTAGAGCTAATGCT